AATATTCTTTGTCCTAATCCTAATTAGTTTTTATTATAATTGAAACTTGTCATTATGATATTTTAAGTTCTATGCTATCAAAAATATAGTTTAGGAAAAATATGGTTGAATAATCATTTATTTTGTTTTTTTGCCTTTTTTTTTGTTAATTTTTTATTTATAATTGTAATTTTATAAAAAAAATAATTATTAAAAATATGATAGATTGGAGTTCATTATCTTAAAATATTATTTCGAATATAAAAATATTTTGAAAAAAAAATTATGCAGTGTGTAAATCATTGCTTATTTTGTTTTTAAACTTTTTTGAAAGAAAGTTGTCACCCCAGGAAATTTATTTTTGTACTAAACAAACTGGGTCCAATTTTTTCACCAACTATAATCATCATATTATAGTTTAATATTATATAAAAAAAATTTTTTTGATCAAAAATCTCCGACCCTTCTTTTCCTAGAGCGCCCCTCAATTCTCTTGCACGTTTTGGATTCTTTTCCATGGAAAGGAATTGTCAGGGCACAGGATTAACTTTCATTTCTCACTTATTTTTAGCGTATCCTGTACAATACCAAGAATAGCCGGGTTTGTACCATTTTAGATAGTCTGATTCTTCGTAATGGATAATGCGAAGAGTGGTAACTTCAGCAGGTCTCATGCTTAACATTATGATTACATCCGCAAGATCTTGCATAGTGGGAATTTTAGTAGTGTCGATATTTTGAATTCTTCTAAGTCCCTCATCTAAGGAGAAGTGCTTAGGAGTTTTAGGCGGATTAGCTAATCTCTGTACGAGTTGTCTTTTCTGAATTTCGTTAGATTCTTCAGTAGTAGTTGGGTTCTTAGCTAATAGAATATTTTTGGGATCGGCTCCAGCTTCTGCCAATTCCTTACGGAATAATGTAAGTCGTGAACTGGAAGCAACTTTTTCCTTATCGCTATTGTTTTTTGTCTTTATTAAATCTAAAGTATTAGCTAATATATCAAATGGATCACCACTTTTAGCGCAATACTCAGCTCTTTCCTTGATGGTAAGTTTTTCATTCCTTTTATCCGGTACAAGAGCCTTGATCTGATCTTTACTGAATGAACGTCGATGAAGCAAGTCTTTCATACTTTTTCGAGCCTTCCAGTCTGGTAACATAACACCGAGTTTGCTAGCATAATCGCATAATTGAGATGGATTGGATTCGATAGTCAAGTTGTATTTTTTTAAGACCTGATCCAAAATCGTTTTAAAGTTATTAGTTTTGGGCTTTGAGGTAGTATTCATGATAATATGTATATCGATAATTAGATTGTAATATATTTGTTACCTATTTATTTTTCAAATCAAAATTAATTACCCGCCCTTCATTCATAGATATCAGCTATGCAAAAAAGAATTCTAGAATCCTATCTACTTATTATTATGAATCGGAGACTATAATCAATAGATTTTCAATATGTGAAATATATTTTTTTTTGAATTAAACATTTTGTATCATTATTAATACAAACTGATCAAGTAATACTTTTTTGTTAAATTAAACGACACCGCATATACAAAATGAGTCTGTCTAGGGAGGAAAAAAAACTTCTATATGAATCATTACAACAACAGGGGCAAAGTCAAAAATTGGCTGAAGTCAGTGAGGCAAAAAGTCTTTTTGCAGGTTTAATGAATCTTGAGCATGAAACTGGTTATAGAGGAGAACATATGTATTTTAAATATTTACTTCCGTCTAATGGACAGAGTGCACTTACTTCAGAAGATGATTCGGAAGATGA